TCAGCTTGTCATTCTAAGCTTATCATTTTCAGCTTATACTTATAAATTCTAAAACAGTGATTATTGAATTCACGAAATAGAACACCACATTAAGAAATATTATTTACTAACTTTTTCAATAATTAAAAAATATCAATGATACTTAAGTGTCATCACATACAACACATTATTATGATCATCATAATATATATTATAGAATATTGCATAATAATCCAAATTCAATTTCAATATTAAAATGTACTATCCATTATCTCTTAACATCATAACATACTCAACGAGTACTGATCATATGCTATTGATCAAGCCTTTAAAACAAACTACATATATGATTGCTTTAAATTGACCAAAAGATTGAATACTTGCTTTAAATTGACCGTTCAATTTAAAGTTCGTCCCTTTAAAAAAAAATCATGATGGGATAAATTCAATTTTTTTATGCCAAAAAGTATAAAAATAGAACATAATGAAATAGGTGATGATCCAAGTATATATTAAAACAGATAGCGTTTTTATTTGCCTTCAAAATTGAGACGGATTGCGCCCGTTGGAATACATTAAATAAGATGTGCTATTAATTGTATAATTACTTCTGTGAATAATTAAAGAATTGGGGAGAAGCTTCCTAAACTTTTTAATCCCATAAATATGGTCATTATCTGGAATAAAGAGTTAAGCGTCATATGTCACTTTTTGTACTAAGGAAACATCGACTTTATGCGTTATGACTTTTCGATGAGGAAACAAGTGTTCACGTATTATAAACTTCCTTATTCCAATAAACCGACCCTAAACATAATTAATTCTAAGCATGATAATGGTCTCTTTTCTATGATAACCAAATCAATTTGGTTATCATAGTAAAGCACCAAAAACTGGAATAGGAATAACCGCACTTAAACAGGAATAGGCAGTGTGGAAACTAGAGAAGACTCAACTGATTTTTTAAGCAACTCTTCTTGCCGATTCAAATCTGCTTTGCTAATCATTGTATATTACTATATTCTGATTAGGATACTTTAACGCTTGATGCATGCACATCATTCTTTCAGCTGATTTCTAAAATACAATCTTCTATTAACTTTGAAATTTCTTCAAAAGTTATAGTAATTCCATAGTTCATTCGTAAAATGTTATTAAATAGCTCTGACTATTCCTTTGCACGCAAAATGAGGTAGTATTTTTTGAATTTTTTACTCAAAATAAAACAAAATCTACTCAATTTTATACCACTAAAGCCTATATTGACACACACATATATAAATCTCTATTGTTATAAGATAAATTTGAAAAAATAAATTTTTTTCCTAAAATGTAAAATTATACTTGTATTCAAAGAAAGTAGATCGTTTATAAGGAAGGTATTATATATTTGGGGAGAAAATCCCTTACAATATACAAAAATATGAAAGAATATTCAATCATCAGGAAAGAGCTTAGTACTAACCATTTGTGAGACGTTCATATAATATCTTTTTCCTTTTTGGGGTTTTTAATCGGATTATCCATTTCCCTGCATTGACTTTAATTCATTCTTGATGATCTGAGTATACATGATCATTATCGAACGTTTGCCATACTCTTCCACAGTTAATGATTGCTGAAAAATGAATAGTACTGAATAACAGCTGGAATTTCATAAGTATTTTGCGTATTTATACTGATTTAAACATGAAATACTCATACAAAATGCAAAGTTTTTAAAAACAATCAATAAAAGATTTTAAATTAGATAAAATATCATATGTCACTTCTTTTTTCATCTGGATAATAAAATTGATAAATTTTTTTCTAATTAAAGATAAAGATGCATTTATAGTAGTAGAAAATTAATTTCTAGACTAAAGCTTGTTTATTGTCACCGTTTTAAGTCTAAATTTATAGGAAATGGTTATTTTATTATGCATTAAAAGTTCTTCTATAAAATTAACATTAAAATCATCTTTCGCCTAAGAGTAATAACAAGGTTATGCAAATTTTATTGAAAATAGTACGAGAATTTTGTTTGAAAATATAATATGGTTAAAAATAGGGAATGGATGTATGAATGTTCCATATTTATTTTATCCGAGTTGCTTCATGATTCCATATTGCCGATTCCTATTCCAGTTTTTGGTGCTTTACTATGATAACCAAATTGATTTGGTTATCATAGAAAAGAGACCATTATCATGCTTAGAATTAATTATGTTTAGGGTCGGTTTATTGGAATAAGGAAGTTTATAATACGTGAACACTTGTTTCCTCATCGAAAAGTCATAACGCATAAAGTCGATGTTTCCTTAGTACAAAAAGTGACATATGACGCTTAACTCTTTATTCCAGATAATGACCATATTTATGGGATTAAAAAGTTTAGGAAGCTTCTCCCCATTAAAAAATTGAAATCATTGAAAAAAAAGATGCCACTTCTGGCTAATTATAAGTATTCTGTCACATTAAGCAATATTGATACTTTGAATTTGTCGCTAATTCAAAACATTTTTTGTTAAGGGTGCACACGAGAGGATCATGTAAACTTCAGAATTTAGAACCTTATTTTAGGCATTATCTTGGCTACCTATTTAGGCTCGAAAAGCAAAAAATATCAAAAAATACAACTTGAGTCCATTATGACCCTTTCATGGAGGTAGTTTTTATCCGCTAGTATTTTCCCTTTGAATCTCTTTACAATTCGAAATCAAATTCAAACCTCAGTAGAAGAAAGGAAGAATCGACTTACTACGGTTGTAATACGAATAAATACATATATTTAATTATTTTTATTTACATAATAATTGTTTGAAGCTCATATTCCGTCAAATTTTTAAATAAAAACATTAAAATGTTGAAAATGTTCATATATTTTAATAGGGTTTTGGCACTTTATTGAGGAATTACTACATACATAGTCGAACTGAACTTGATATTTTGAAATTTAAATTATTTATCAAAATTAAAATTTAACTTGAAATTTATAATTATTTAGTCATATTTTGCATAATTCTAAGTAGATTTTGTAAAAAATCAAGAAAGAAAAATTTTAACGTGCTTTATTTTTTCTTTTTTATAATAATACATATTATTATATAATTAACATATTCATAATGTTTCACCCTTTCAAAAATATAATCCTCCTCTCAAATAAACGTACATACGGGTGGCCTCTTTTTTCAAAAAATTAAAATTTGAAATTTTAGGCTCAAATATTAGAGATTTTTTCAACCTTCAACGATATATGTAAGGGTTTCGTTTTGCTAAAATTGTCACTTTTATAGCATATTTGTTTTTGGATGTTTTGCGAAACCAAAAAAAAAACTATGATATACAATGTGTGTGTAAAGAAAATACTTTATTTACTAGTTAAAAAATCATTTGGTATTGATCAAGTTATTTTTTCTGGATAAGATATTATATGGATAATTGGATAGAAAATACAATTATATAATCTTGTACCTGGTTTAATTAAGCTAATTGTCATCAGAAACTTGTAATTTTTATGAATTTCAAATTTTCTTTTCATTACTGCTTTTCTTAATAGGTCAAGTTCTTATTTACGTTATAAAGTATGATATTTACAAATATCAAGTTATCGTGTTTTTTGAGAAATTATGAGAAACAAACAAAAATGAAAAAGATAGGAATAGCAATGAATAGTGATGTGGGTATAGAAAATGTAAGAGATATGAATGCAAAGCAATCAGTATTTAGGACATTGACCATAGATTTCGAAAAAAAATGCTGCATATTGAGCGAAAACTATGATTATATTATAAGGTTGTCATTTAAAGCATAATGAAACTATTCCCTTTTCATTTTAATCGAATAAGATAGTAAAGATTTTTGAATTAGCTAGAAACTGATGAGATGTTTTCACAAATCAGATTTTTAATCTCTATAATGCATAATTCACTCAATATCTCAATTTTGATATTGCGAGATATTTTTGCTATCGGTTTCGCAATTTTGACACAATAGCAAGAGGGTTCTATAAGCATTATTATCAACGTAGAATCTGAATATCATATCAGAAAATGTCGCAAATCTGACATTTACCCGACCAAATAGCAAAAATAATTGAATACTTTTCGCAAAAACTTTAAAAATCGATAAAAATATGAAATATAGATATTAAAGAGACTTTTTATATAATATTCATAAAGATTTTCCAAAAATATGATACCGCAAAATTAAAAAAGTGACGTCTTGAGTGGAGTCAAAGATCGAAATTGCTAGCTAAATGTTTTTTTAGCGAAATTGCGTATTATACGTTTTTTTTCGCAAAACGAAACCCTTAATATATGTTGTCTATATCAGACCTCCTTTCTTTTTGATACTTAACATTGTTCCTAAATCTTAGCCGTTAAGGCTGTTCTGAAAATATTTTTTTTCGAAAAAATTCAAAAAAAATTCTTAAAATTCAAAAATCCCTTAATTCCTGAGAATTTTGGAAAAAGGTTTTTACATGAACATGTGTATATTATATGAAGTATATTGATAAGGTAAAAATCAAATTTTATTGCATATTCATCGAGAAAATAAACTAACGAATCCCTCAAAATTGAGAGGGTAATCCTCCTCCCCTCAAATAAACGTACATAAGGGTGCACCCTTAATATCAAAAAATAAAATTTAAAATATGCATTTAATTGATAGGTCCTTATTGGATCTCCTTTTTCAGAAAATCACTATCAAAAGTAAAAATCGATGATCATATGTTTTTCTTGATTCCGTATTTATTGCTGCTATTTATGTATTTTGAAATGATTATAGTCTCAATTTTTCAAAAGGGGAAATGACATTCGACTATTTATCTATTTTAATGCGTATACCGAAATATGTCAGTTAAAGAAGATTGATTTCTTAACTCTCAAAATAATATAAAGTTATCAATATAATATTGTTCTCAATTTTCTGAGACTTTTTGCGGTTTATTTTGAAAGGACAATTCAAAAATTGGGAACTTAAAAAAATTGAATTCAAAAGTAAAGTTTCTATTTTTGTTAATATTCATTTTTCAAATAATGATTCTTACCAACCTTAGCAAGAGAAGTTTAGGCTCTATTGGAAAGCCACATCCAAAAACACAATTTACATCCAAAGAGGATCAGCAACTGATGTCGCTTGTTCAGATTTACGGAGATAATAATTGGGAAGTTATTGCTCAATTAATGGAAGGCCGTAATGTTAGACAGTGCCGTGAAAGGTACACAAAATACCTCTCTCCAGACATAAATAGAGATCCTTGGAGTCGTGAAGAAGATAATTTGCTGATTGAAAAGCATAATCAATTTGGTCCAAAGTGGGTCAAAATATCCAAATTCTTCAATAAGAGAACAGATGCGGCTATCAAAAATCGATGGAACATTCTTCTTCGTCAGCTTCCTATCAGGCCAGATTCTCCTAGCTCGGAGCCTGAACCAGAACAGCATGAAAACGAATTAGAAATTGCAACACCAGAAATTATTAGCGAGAAGGATCAGCTCTTTTATGTGTTTGAAAGGTTTGCGCAAAATTTTTATATGTGCGAAGAAAATGCTTTTGATTCATGGTGATAACATGTATCCACTATTGTATTCATATAGATTTCTTCATGTTTTGTTCTAATTAAATGTATATTATATTGTTGTAAATTCTAGGAGTATTTTTGGATAAAAAAGAATTGACCACTTCTATATTTCCCATTTGGTTTGAGTATTAATTAAATTTCTATTATACTTGCTATAAATAATAAAAGTTCATTTGTTCTGGAATAAGTTTCAATCATAATAACAATTAATTTAGTCAATGTATGATCATAATATCTAATGTACATAATATCAATCATTTCGATATAACTTTCAAAGCACATCGAAATTTGAAACCTTCATGATTCTACACAAATTAAATTTATTGTTAATACAAAGCATTTATAGCATTATCTCTTTCCAATGATGAATGAAATAGCGGAATCGATACAAAAGATAAACAAAAATTTTGAAAAAAAACTTGAAGTAGGATTGTTTGTATGATTTGGGTGTATTACCGATTTGGACTGTTGTAAACAGAAATTCATCAAAGTGACACCTCAGAAAAGCTAAAATATTGAATTTTTGGAACTTTTGATAGAGCACGTTTTTAAATATTAATTAAAGTAAATGTATATTTTGTAAAGATTCTTTTTAATAAAAAAATAAAATTTTGAAGAAGAACACAAAATCTTCTGAAAAATAATATCACATAAACTCATATTATTTTCTAATATATAACTATTTTATATAAAAATCAAATTCAATGATCTTAAAAGCGAAGGATAAACCTCAAAATTTACGAATATAATGAGTGGGAATATAATGCTTATCTATCATAAAACCATATGAAATATCAATTTTTGCTTTACGCTTAATTTTTGACGACAATTAGCAAAAAATGTTAAATGTTAACACTCAGTCCATTTGAATATGAAAAATAAAATTGACTTTGATTAAATGTTTTTATTTATCATGCAATTCTTCTTGCGACCAAAGATTTGAATAAAAGTTCAAAAAATAAGATAGCTTAAAAAATAATATACGGTAGTGTTTACTAATAGATGAATAGTATATAAATTCTATTAAAATGGATTTGATCCAAAAAAATATAAAACCAAAAATAATTGTTATAATTTAAATGAAGAAGTAATTTAAAACGATTTTATTTATGATCAAATTTTATATATTTTTTTGGATCAAATCCATTTTAATGGAATTTATATACTATTCATCTATTAGTAAACACTACCGTATATTATTTTTTAAGCTATCTTATTTTTTGAACTTTTATTCAAATCTTTGGTCGCAAGAAGAATTGCATGATAAATAAAAACATTTAATCAAAGTCAATTTTATTTTTCATATTCAAATGGACTGAGTGTTAACATTTAACATTTTTTGCTAATTGTCGTCAAAAATTAAGCGTAAAGCAAAAATTGATATTTCATATGGTTTTATGATAGATAAGCATTATATTCCCACTCATTATATTCGTAAATTTTGAGGTTTATCCTTCGCTTTTAAGATCATTGAATTTGATTTTTATATAAAATAGTTATATATTAGAAAATAATATGAGTTTATGTGATATTATTTTTCAGAAGATTTCATTCTATATGCCTATGAAAAGTACTCTCAAAACTAACTTTTTCCTAATTATAATTAAATCTAGAATATTGTATTATGCTTAGTATTATTTCATTTTTCTCATTCAATTTAGAATTTACAAATGTCAAAAAATTGAGAGCTGTCACTTTTGATGAATTTCTGTTTATTACAGGACAACATCATTAAAAGTATGAGAGTAAATTTTATATGTCATTCAATTGTATAAAATTTTAAGATTTAATGACATTTTTTAACGCGATACGAGCGTAAGTCCATAGAATGTGTTTTGAGGGAAACTATAAAAATCCAAAATAGAGGTAAGTGCGCCATTATTACCTGCGAAGTTACATGGAATAAATCGAAGAGTAAGTACAAGATGATCTTGCATCTTTCCAAGTAAATGAAATTTATTAAAATTAAGATGATAATATTCATTTATAGTATGTGTATGATGTGTTTTCAAAATTTCTTCAAATAAAATGCAATGATAATTTTTGAATAATTTTTTTCTTGTGTATATTTCATTTTTATTAGTGAAAATATCATTACATCAATAAGGAAAGCACAATCCAAATTCATATTAGTTAAATTAATCTACGACCAAAAGCCCGCCAAATTTGAATTAAACCTCCAATTTAAAATTTTCAAGTCTACGGAACCATCCTTGGATCATAGTAATCATTCATTACAAAATGGAATCTTTTGGTATTGTGCGGGCGATACCATAGATTTCTTTTTATTGATAATGCTATTGAACAAGCTCATTCCGTGGATTTTCATTTAGAACTTTGTTTCATGAGTTTCTGGAACAATATAACATCTGAAACCTTTTGTGCGGGCAAAAGAAGGGATGTTTGTTGATTGAAAAATGCTCATTTAAAAGAAGTTCTGAAAAGAAATTTGGAGATGATTTGTGGGTTGTGTAAGGTGTAGGTGTTGTGATATATGTGGAATGGAATGATCCTTACCTCAGTCATAGACTCATCCTTACCTCAGTCATTGACTCATCCTTACCTCAGTCATAGACTCATCCTTACCTCAGTCATAGACTCATCCTTACCTCAGTCATTGACTCATCCTTACCTCAGTCATAGACTCATCCTTACCTCAGTCATAGACTCATCCTTACCTCAGTCATAGACTCATCCTTACCTCAGTCATAGACTCATCCTTACCTCAGTCATAGACTCATCCTTACCTCAGTCATTGACTCATCCTTACCTCAGTCATAGACTCATCCTTACCTCAGTCATAGACTCATCCTTACCTCAGTCATAGACTCATCCTTACCTCAGTCATAGACTCATCCTTACCTCAGTCATAGACTCATCCTTACCTCGGTCATTGACTCATCCTTACCTCAGTCATAGACTCATCCTTACCTCAGTCATAGACTCATCCTTACCTCAGTCATAGACTCATCCTTACCTCAGTCATAGACTCATCCTTACCTCAGTCATAGACTCATCCTTACCTCAGTCATAGACTCATCCTTACCTCAGTCATAGACTCATCCTTACCTCAGTCATAGACTCATCCTTACCTCAGTCATAGACTCATCCTTACCTCAGTCATTGACTCATCCTTACCTCAGTCATAGACTCATCCTTACCTCAGTCATAGACTCATCCTTACCTCAGTCATAGACTCATCCTTACCTCAGTCATAGACTCATCCTTACCTCAGTCATAGACTCATCCTTACCTCAGTCATAGACTCATCCTTACCTCAGTCATAGACTCATCCTAACTCTTGCAATAACATATATTTACTTCAATGTATGTGAAATTTTCTCCCTAACTTATCAAATATCACTCAATTACTCAATTATTCTTTCTTAATTTAACTCCTTACCAGAACTTTACATTTAACTTCAAAATAATTTTATTATATTAAATTTTCAAAACCATATTTTAGTTCAATACTATTATAGATATAACTTTGTCAATAATGAATATTTTCGCGATTTGGCAACGAAATATGAATCTCTGGCCGGTGTAGATTCAGAATCACTGAGTTATCAAAGATTTTATTGGTGGGTATAAATTAATTAATGTAATGCATGAAAAATAGCGTGACTTCACTTTTGACAGTTTACAAATGTAAAGTGTTGCATCCTTAAAAACTTGGAAATATATACATTCATGAATTATCTTGTATATTAATTGAAAATCCATAAAACCCTAACAATATTTTTTCTTAAAAAAACATAAAAATATAAATAAAATAATCGTTAAATAAAAATATTGATATTAGAATTTTATTGGAAAAATAAAAACTTAATATTTTAAAGAAATACTTAAATACTTGAATGTTTTAACTTTTAATTATCATATAGACTCTCAAATTATTGATTGGAAACGGTTTGAGGGTTATCAATTTAAAAAAAATTGTGAGTTTTTTAGATTTTTGGCAATAACGGTTAATTTTTTCTCAAAAAAATTATTTCGAATTTCCGAAATTTTTGACATTTTGGCTGAGAACTATGGTCTGCGAGGTACATAGATAGAATCAGTACCTCGCAGACTAGAGTTCTCTATATGGCGCCGAAAATTTTTGGTGAATGTCGTCGCACTTCACCAAAAATTTTTCGGCGCCATAGGAAGAATTGGAGGGTGTGAGATACTATTACATGCTATAGTGCTCACACCCTCCAACTCCCAATCAAAATCGCATAAAATTTGCTACTTATCTTCAGATTACCTCCCATTATAAAATATATCATTGCTATCTCATCGTACTATACTTCCACCCTATTGTATTTAAAAATATAAAATTTTTTGATAATATATTTTTATATCTTGAATTTTCAAACAATATATTCACAGATAATATAATGGGAAATCTATCTCAACCTAGCCTTAAAGTACCAAACTCCTGCTTGCATTCTCACTCACAAATATTAAACATCCATCTCCAAAAAACTAAATTCTTCACAATTTTTTTAAAATTGAGAACATAAAAAACGTATGCATTCAATAATTTAAGATACTAACAAATATTAAAAACTTCAAAATATCAGATATTAACGTTTTTCAATTAAAAAAAATATCATTTTGCTTTTCAATTCGAACATAAATCTTAAATATTTTTAATTAATATCTGATTTACAGCATTATTATCCATTTATAAATCTGACAAATAAATGACAAAACCATCAGAAATAGCGTCACTTTTTGTCAAAAGTGAAGTCACGCTATTTTTCATGCACAACCAAGGAAGTGAAGTCACCGTCGAAATATGAATCTCTGGCCGGTGTAGATTCAGAATCACTGAGTTATCAAAGATTTTATTGGTGGGTATAAATTAATTAATATGTGAAATAATTATATAATAAGCGACGGAAGTTAGTATACATAACTTGGGTACGGCGGCACTGCGTTCCACCTTACCCAACTTAACCTTAAATATTTACAAAACCATCTGACACATAAATG